AAAGTGAATGTGATATTTGTAAAAAAGTTAAAATATTAATGAAAAAACAATTTAAATTTAAAATAAAGATTGATAACACTGCAGCAAAGTTAAAAGCTTCTCTTACAAAAACATCAAAGAAAAGAATTGTTCTTGCATTACAACAAGAACGAGTTAAAACCAAAGAATTAAAAGAAAAAATTTATCGAATGAGAAAAGAAATTGATGCAAAGGGTGTGGAACTCAACAAAGATTTTATTAATGATATAAATCACATTATGGATTCCAACAACCAGAATATGACTCCATTTATGAAATTATTCTGGGAAGAGCAAAAAAAAGCTTCTACTAATCAGAAGAGTTTAAAATATCATCCTATGATTATCAGATTCTGCTTATCCCTTTTCATGAAATCAGCATCAGCATATGATGAACTTAGGAATTCCATGATACTCACTCTGCCAAGTCGGAGGACTCTTAGTGATTATAAAAATGCAATACGTCCATCAGTCGGGTTCAATCCTAATGTAATTGAAGAACTCAAACTGATCACTAACAACTTAAATGATGTTCAAAGATTTATAGTACTTTCTTTTGATGAAATCAAAATTAGTGAAAATTTAGTGTATGACAAGCACTCAAATGAGCTTATTGGCTTTGTTGATCTTGGAGATCCGCATCTAAATTATAGCACTTTCAAAGACATTGATGACCTTGCTTCTCACTGCTTAGTTTACTATATTAGAGGTGTTGCTTTCGATTTAAAGTTTGCTTTGGCATATTTTGCTACTAAAGGTGTTACTGCAAGTCAAATTATGTCTACTTTTTGGAAAGCAGTGTCTGTGTTGGAATTAGAGTGTGCTCTTAAAGTAATTGCTGCTGTGTCTGATGGTGCTTCTCCAAATCGACTGTTCTACAAAATGCACAAAGGGATGGATAACATTGAATCATTTGTTGTGTACCGTTCAAAAAATATATTTGCAGACCGCTACATATATTTTTTTTCTGATGCACCACATCTTATAAAAACATTTAGAAATTCATTGCATCATTCTGGAGATAGTGAAAATCATACACGTAATTTATGGAATGAACAAAAAGTTATATGGAGTTATTTCGTGAAATTAGTAAATGATGATATTTTCAGAGATTTAAAGTTGCTGCCTAAATTGACCTTAGAGCATGTTCAATTAAATTCTTTTTCTGTTATGAATGTTCGATTAGCAGCTCAAATTCTTAGCAAAAGCGTTTCAAATGTCTTACGCTTAAAGTATCCCACAGAAACCCATGTAACAGCACAGATATGTGAATTAATGGATAAATTTTTTGATTGTACGATTACTCGAAATCAAAAGGAAGGCATTATGAAAAGAAAAGAATTTTTGTTGCCCTACCGCAATGTTAACGATGCTCGCTTTGATTGGCTCAAGAACACTTTCCTAAAATACTTTGAAACTTGGCAAGAAAATATTAAAAATGGAACTGGGAATTTCCATCGGGGTGAACGTGAAAAAATGTTTATTTCATTACAAACATACGAAGGTCTCCATATAACTGTGAATTCTTTAATTGAAGTAACCAAGTTTTTATTAACTAGCGGAATACCTTTCGTATTGACTGAACGTTTTACCCAAGATGTCCTGGAGGAATACTTTGGGAGGCATCGCAGCCTTGGTCGCCGAAATGATAACCCTACCCTCATTCAGTTGGGATACCAATCAAATGCTATCAGAATGCAACGATCTGTAGCACCTGTTACTGGAAATACCATAGGAGCTCATATACAAAAGCGTAAAGTATCGTGGAGAATCGCTTCTGATGAACCATTAGGAAAAAGGTGTAAGAGCAAGAAAAAAAAACAACAGAATCTGAGAACATATGAAAATAATTGATGATATATTTTTAAATACATAATTTTATTAATAAATAAACACATAACAAGTGGCATATACCATGCTTGTTACTCTTTGGATTGTTTTTTAAGAGTTTTACGAAGACCACCCTTATTATTTTTTTGTTTCAATTTTAGTTTATATTTGGTGGTAATGTCTTTAGCCAAAGAAAATGCTCGCACTCGAAAATAAAGTTTGACCATATTTTCTAAAAGGTTTTTACTAACATCATTATCAATGTCAACTCCGCATCCTGTTAAGATAGAGTTATAAAAGCTCACTACTTCTGTATCTTTCAGTAGTTCCATAGTCATCCTGTTAATATCAATTTCTTGCAAATGATTAATATTTGTTTCATTTCGAAATTGAATTTCAGCTTTTACAAATATTTGCTGGCATTCATTATTAACAGCTGTTAGTCCACCACGATTTTGTGCCTCAATCAATTCCTGATCTGTAGAATTTTTGCTAATAGCGTTATTTAATATTTTTATTATATCTTGATTTTCATTGGATTTATAATTCAGGCTATTTTTCGATTTCTTAATGAACTTTCTGACAACATACCCAGCCAGATATTGCAAGGCACCAATTTCATCATTTGTTATATTTTTTATTTGTTTTGCTTCCTTGTTGGGCATTCTTTTGAAGTATGCAAGCACCTTGTCAGCCAGTTGTGTTGCTAAAAGAGTACTATTGGGTTTTCCTAATTCAGGAAAGTAAACATCTGCATTGATTACTATTTTATTATAAAAGCTGGAATAATAACTCTCTGCATTGTTTGTATTAATCAAAATGTCATAAATCTTTTTTACATCTGCGTAAAGTGCTTCTGTTAATATGAAATTATAACACTTGAAACATTCTCGTCGAGTTAAGTTGTAACAGTTATCCTCAGATAGATTTTTTTGTGACTCCAGAACTAAATCACTTAGTATTATGCTACTCATTGTATTTCTACTTGTATCAAAGGTCTCTTTTAGTTGTAAATGTTTACAGTTTCGGTGACGAGTAAGTCCCCCTTTTGATTTACAAATGTTCCCACAGTCGTCGCACTTAAAACTGTCTGGTGTTGACTCCTATAAGAAAAGAAATCTATAGTAATGTATATTTACATAGCTTATTTTTTTAATTAAATATAGTTCTTGCATAAATTTGCTTACCTCTCCAACATCTACAATATTTGCAATAATAAATTCTTAGTCTAAAAGACCTTCATCCTGAATATCTATCAATAAATCTGCAGACTCCTGTGTTAAAAACTCGTTATTTGACGCCATGATATAAATGTTTTGCACACTCTTTGGTCACGTGATTTAAAAACTATTCATTTCAACATGCGCAGCGTAACAAAAAGAAATAACAATGGACTTCCAGACCATAGTTATATTCTATTGACTATGCATAAATTATGTGTCAAGTTAACATTTTATTATTTGGCAAGTATTTGTAAATTTTAATTTATTTTTAGAAGTTGTAACAAGAAGGTTTAGAAAAGTTTCAAATTCTGATATAAGACAGCAAATCGGAAGATATTGTAAAAATGCTCCATCGCAGAAAAATAGAAACTAAAATTTATTTTTTATTGTATATATTATATGTTATATACATTGTTATATAGAAAGATACTTTATTAAAATCCATCTTATTGTAATATATGTCCCTTTTAACTTATTTTTTTTTTTAATTTTATGAATTAATTAATTTTTTTTTAATTTATTTTTCCTTTATATTTATGTTTCTAATAAATACGGCATTAATTTTATCTAAACTAAACACCTAAAAGTCTTCTAAAATCAGACTTCTTGGGTAAAACGCTTTTAAAGCGCTTGGGTAAGACGTTTTTATTCTGTCTAGAGTAAGATGACTTTAAGCTATCTTGTGTAAGATATCTTTAAGGCGTCTTGAAAAAATGCCTTTAGACCGTTTATTTAAGACGTTTTAAATCGGTCATTAGTAAGACGTTTTTAATCAATCTTGAGTAGACGTCTTTTCGACGGACAACGTAGACCTTTTTAAGATCTCTTTAAGACATCTTTTTAAAAAAGACGTTTTTAAGACAAAATCACGCGCCACATTTTTCTGTAGAAGTTCAAATCTTGTAGGGGAGACCGGGGCTAGTTGGCCGCAGGGGTAAGTTGACGAATTGCGTTTATCTTTAAAGCCTTTCATCAGAAAGTGATAAAAATTACACAGAATCTTCCTAATTGACTGTTTCATCATTCAATGTAGTATTGTCAGGATTCGCGCATGCGCATGGGAGATATTAAGATTTAAGTGTTTTTTGGACAAAAACGTAACTTTTGAAACATCGCTTCCTTTTTACTTTACAAAGAAAATAGTTAGTCAAATGGAAAAAAAATTATTGTAAAAGTTCTAGCCACAATTGGTTTACTATATTCAGTTTGACTTTTTTTAAAAGTTGCCGTTTTTCAGGATCTATAGACTGTTTATTGAAAAAAAAGCCTTCGGGGTAAGTTGACAAAATTTTTACGGGGTAAGTTGGCTCATAGCATTTACTATGGAGAAAAATATTTATTTTTATAAAAATAATTTTTTTAATTTTTTTAATTTTTAACAATATTGAAAAAACTTATTCTTACAAAAAAATTAAAAAAATTTTTTTTTTAGGTTTTTTGTAACAGGTAAAAAGAGGGCTGCTGTTTTGGCTGTTATACGTACTAATATTTAGCACAAGCTAAAAATAATATCAAATTATTAGCTTAAATTGTTGCCAAAATTAATAGGTAAAAAATTTCTATTAATTTTGCACTTAATAGTACATTAATAATCACGTTTATAGTTTGCGTCAACTTACCCCGTGGTGGGGTAAGTTGGCGCAATTTTTTTTTTTTTTTTGAGGGCCCCGTAAGGCCCCAAGAATTTTTTTTGTAAATTTATGAAACTTTTATAAGTTACCCAAGTTCATACGCTTTGAGACTACACTTTAATATTTTCAAAAAAGTGTGCTATTAGGGCTACAGAGCTCATAGAGTAAAAACCGAGCCAACTAGCCCCGGTCTCCCCTATGCTTTTTATGCTTTAAAGCAAAATTTTCAGCATATTTTAGAAATTGCAATCGACGAGTCTGACTCCTAAAGCTGCACGATTGTATGCAAAATCAATACATTTCTGTTTATCTAAAATAGTTGCTTGTCCAGGTTTGGCTCTCATTTCCTTTACTCAAGAAAGTCAAACTTGTAACAAACATCTTAGAATGTCAAAAGTTAACATGCTCGCTTTGAATCTCCATTTTTAACAGCATTAATTATATGTATATATGTATATATATATATATATATATATATATATATATATATATATATATATATATATATATATATATTTATATATATATATATATATATATATATATATATATATATATATATATATATATATATATATATATATATATATATATATATATATATATATATATATATATATATATATAATATATATATATACATTTTGTATAACGTTCAATTAAACGTTATAAAAAAATAAGAAAAAAGCAGTTTTAAAAGTATTATATCATAATATTAGTAACATTTTAAAAGATTTACAAATGCAAAATGCTTGAATGTAATCAGGAAAACTTTGAAAATACCAAACATCGAGTTTACAGAATATAATATTTATCAAAATTTTAAAAAATGTTCTCAAAATAGTTAACGAGTCAATAAGTACTTTAAACTGCATATTTATAAATTATAAATTATAAATATTGGATTTTTACTTTAAAGCAATCAATACAACCCTGCATTAAAGATTTTTATCAAAATTGCCTGGAATAAGGATGCAGATATAAGTCAGTTTATTCTAAATAAGTAGCTATGTAGGTTAAATGAAGTATCATAAGGGCGCCAAGAAAAATACCGAAAAAATAACAAAAAGTGATTTTTTTAAATTGTTAGGTCCAGATAAAAAAAACAAATTATAATAAAAGTATGAATTATTGTAATTTAATTAGCTAAATAATCTTTTTTGTTGTGCTATAACCCAAAAAAAGCAATTTACAACAGTACTTGTCGAAAGATGTAATTAAAATAAACTATAGAGAAAACGACTTAAAAAATCTTCTAGCTTCTTTTTTAAGAAACTTTAATGAAGAATCTCCGAAGATCAACATTTTTTTTTAACTTTTTCTAGTAAAATATAACAGGCAGTTTGGTTTGAAATTAGGTACTGTGAAAATAGTTCCCAAAAAAGTTGTCGAAAAGTTTGCTAATGTTTATATTCTAAACTTCTCACAGAGAAAAAGTCACGTGACTGAAGTGCCTACTAGGGAGCACTATTCAAATTGTATTGTTCATAAAATGTTTAAAATTATATGTTTTAAGCTCTAACAGGTGTTAATTATATCTCGAAGTTTCTAAGTCACCATCGTTAATTAAATTTTTAGTTTTTCATGTAAAAAGCCATATGTGCGGCCGTGATGCAGTGGTAAGAGCGCATGCTTTAGAAGCAGGAGAACCAGGTTTGAAACGAGCTCTAAATATATAGTGGCGTCACGGCAAGGAAGAAGGCGTGAACTTTCTGGTTAAATGCATTTCCGCGGTGCTCTGTGACAAGACCATTAGGTCTTCTTGGGGCACCTAAATAACATTAAAAAAATAATAATAAGTTTTAGGGTTTTTTTTCATATAGATCACATTTACAAACACGGTACCTACAATATTTGCAAATACGGTAATAGGTATACAAGTTTTTATGTTTTATATGACGTACATGTTGTGAATGTGAAAATCTGACTTTAGTTTACGTAAACCAATTACAAAAAAAAAATTTATTTCAACATACTGCAATATGTTTGCAAGAAAAATATTTAATAAATATAAAATATTTTCCTCGCAAATAAAAACTTCACAATCGTGCATTTAAACTTCAAATAAGCAAACTTCAAAAAATAATGTTAAAAGTTAACAACATAAAATTTAAGAGTCATTTAAGAAAATTTAATTAAAAAAAAGATTTACTGATTATTGCTTTTTTATAAGTTTTTTTATCGAATTTGTTATTTAAAAAAACACTTTCATAACTTTATTAAAAATAAAATTAGAAAACG